TGCAATATTTTTAATGAATAATTTTCAAACAATGAAAAAAAACCGCTTTTTGATAATAAACATTTTAAAGGTGCTATGACTGGAACTGCTTCCTGTGGACTACCCACAAAAGAAGTCTTTGATAGGTACTGTTTTTTAGGAGGACAGGAATTAATAAATCCTGGTAACAATAACTGTTCTTTGCTATGGAGTTGGGCTGTGATATATTTTCACACTGACCTTCTGGCAATTTGTAGGCAGTGTTGCAGACACCTTTGGTATCAGTTAACCATCTGTGCAAGCTTCAAGAAAGCAAGCCCTTCTTCGGTAAAGCAGAGAGGGTACACTCACTTTTCCCTGACACCTCCAGTCACACATAACAAAAATACAAATTCAAAACACCACTCTTGAAGGTTCTTTTTATCGAATAGAAAAAAATATTTAATAAATTCATTGTTTGTGCTTATATATGCAAAAGCAAATAGTCTGCAGTATTATTTAAATAGTTCAATATTTAAATAGTGCATTACAAAATCTGGCTTTTTTCTTGACTCCTATTTCTAATTTATTTTGCACTTACATATAATACCACCTACACATTCCTACAAAAAAAGACTTGGTTTATATTACATAGAATTCATTCCGTCAGCATCAGTTGTCATTGCAAAAATGTGGCCAGTTTCCTGCAATTCCTTTGAAAGCTGGGCAATAGAAACAGTATGACAAGACACAGCTGAACAAACCCCATCTCTTCTTAAATGCTCCACCTCACAGCCCTTCTTTATCTTTTACTGATATCTTTCATGGCACAACTCTTACCCCTTGAAAGATTTAGTTATTAGCTATTAATCTTTTTCTCTTCATTCTGATTTTAGTCTGTATTTCTAGTCTGAATTCTTTTCCTCTTGCACTCACACTCACTTCTCTGGCCATCCCTGGAATGGGATATATAGAACATAAACTCTTTGCCTGGAGCCTTTACCTCTCTGCTGCGGGTCAACTGGCCCTTACTCCACCCTTCTCTTAGCTTTCTATTGTTTCCTTTCTTAGTACCTTTGGACTGTATTTCCCTCTACACAGAAAACAAGAGTTTTATCCCTGACCTTGACCTGCCTACCAACTCCTGTATTTTCAAATGGAATGATTCTGAACACATGAAATTAGAACCTATTTTAAAAAAATTAATGTCCATCCACAGCAGATCAGAATTAACCAATTATATAATACCTCCTAAAATAAGAAAGCGAACAGTCTGCGCAATAAAATATAAATATATATAATACATAAAATTATAAACAATTACTTGTAGTTGTGTAGTACCTAATACTGACAAATGACCACGTCACTGCTCATCTTGTTCTCACAAATTTTATAGTCATTATCATGGATTTACTTACAGAAAGTTTAGTACTATCAAACGTTAAAAAAAGGAATTCACAAATGACCCAACTACAACAATTCCTATAAATTGCATATATCCTTAGCTCATTAATTACAGCAAAGGGATAGTAGTAACATATTGCAGGTAAGATCTTAATATAACAGGAAACCAAGGTCCTCCTCCTCCTTCTCAAAAAAATCAAAAGAAAATCAGTAAGTTATCAATTTTAAAATTCCATTCCAACATACCAGCTGGGGAAAAACGTCAAATTAGAACTCCACATCTTGTAGATTAAAAGGGATTCTGGGAAGACAGACACCTGGTATGAGTAAATGGGCTGAGGAATATTTCTGTTATTTTGGATAGCTATTTATCAGTTAAAATAAACTGTTACCTCCATTGGATTATTTAAGACCATTTTCTGGCAAAATTAGTCTACCTGTGTATCACTACTAACATTGCCAGTTAGTAGTGACACAGTAAGTAATTCCAGCAAGTCAAATTACTGTCAGGACTTAGAGAAGTCTTTTTTTAAATTCAGGCTTGGATTTAACAATAATTGAAGATTCATGGTAACAAAACCAAATGAGCACATAGAATTTTTTTTCCACTACAACTCGAATTTTACAGAGCTCCAAATCTAGCTGCCACTACTAAAAATTATGGTTGCATTTACACGTGATAATGCTTACAGACAAATCATGTTGAAAACTAAAAACTATTACTGTATAAAACCTGAGAACTGCTGAGCATTTCTCAGTGTTGCTTCTTAAGCACAGCACAGAAAATGGAGTCCTCATATTAATAAAATGATAAATTACTTTTTAAAGTTCAGAAAATAATTTTTTCTAAACCTTTTGAAGATGTTCTAATATTTCATGTCACATTTTTCTCAGATTTCACCTTTTAGCATGTAGATCATTGTATTAGGGGATGTTTAGGCCAGCAAACTAATGTTATCAATGGTAAATCACAGTACATAATGACTTCTGCCCAGGGGAAGGAGATGAATGAGATGAAATTCCAATGAGAGGGAAAAGCTCCGGCCAAGTCTCATGTGAAACATGTAAAGCACCTTCATATTCAGTGTTTCTGTAAGGCATATGATAAATACTTGCAAAAGCTTAGCTCATTTTTTCCATGACTTAGATGCCCAAAATTCATCAGTCATATGCATCTTTGTAGCTTCTGTAAATGCTGAGTTTATCAGCAGGCTGAATGAACCACTATTTCTTCATATATTGATAACCCCCTTGCTCCAACTGTTAAGTATTGAAATTGTTAAGTAACTGAAAATTCACAGAGGATAAGGCCTACAAAAATTAACACCAACCAGATTTATTCTAAATTCTCACTTTACTGAATCAGTTTTTGGACAACATAACTCCTAAAATCCAATTTCATTTGTATTTTTGCTCAGCAAAGCAGAACAATATTTAGAAAACATATATACCTTCCAACAGATAATGAAAAAATGTGCAGTTTTATATACCTTCATTCCAGGAATTTCACATTGCTTTGCAAATATTAGTGTTTCTTCCTGATAACAGAGAAGAAGAATCCAGACCAAAGAAAGACTTATTTGTCATGGTCACAAAGCTAGCCACAGTCAGAACTGACAGGAATATATTTGATTTTCAGTTCCCTGTTCCAGAAATTAGACCCGATTTCCAAAATGAAAAGAGGAAAAGATAATGATTTTCCCAGCTCTTAAAATAATTTTTTTCAAGGCTCTCCTATTATTCAAATTCTATTACAGAGAGAGAAAAAAGGAGAGTAGAAAAATATCAGTGAAAATTATATGGTCCTACCATGTATTTTAAAAGGTAATAAAACCTCACAAATTTCTAATAATTTGCAGCTATCTATTTATGTAGTCTACCCCTTAACAGAAGATGGAAAGAAACTAGCTATGTAATGTTCTACCACTATTTAAATCCAAACTAAGTAAGCAACAAAGCACTGTGATATTTAAAAAAAAAACCAAATCCTAAACAAAAAAAAACTCACAAAAATAAACAAACAACAACAACAACAAAAACCTAACCATTCCTTCAACCCTAAAAAAAAAAAAAAAGGCAAGCAAATCTGCCAGAAACAATACAAAGAAAAAGGACCCAATTAGAAGGAACTTCAAAAGGAAAGGAGTTTCTGTCAGTGTTACATAAACCAAGTGGCTCAGAACAATGCTGTGTTGAGGCTGTTTTGACACTTCAGGAAGAGAGCCTTTGAGACACCAATTGTCTAGGTTTGGGAAGGTAGTAGAGAAAGTAGCAGATAATGTCAATAAGACAGAAACAGCAGAATCCTCTACCATTTTTTCCTCTAATAAATAAAAACTGCTTTTTCCAGTGAAGACGCTGACACAGTCTTGTTATAAGCCATCTTTCAGGCCTATGAAACAACCTACTCGAATGTTCCTATCAGGGTACTTAAGTGGCAAGTTGAGCACAAAAATAGTAATGGCACTTAAAGAATTGAAATCTACTTAAAACCAAACTATAATGGCTATTATCTTAGAACACGAGGGTCAACTATTAAAATTACTCAATTATATAACATGCAAAAATATGAATCAAAGAAGTGAAAACAGAGCATTATGCATTTCACCTACCCCAGAGAGGAAAGAGTAACTGAACCAAAGAAAAATTCACTGCAGGGAGTATGCATTCAAAATAAAGTGAAGCTACCTCTAGACATTTTTGGAAGAAATGGAGTATGTTTCTGTTGACTAAAGCTCTCAAACAAAAAAACAGACTCACCGACGCAAAGCAAAGTCCCTTTTAGCAAGCACTCAGTTATCAACAAATACATCATTGTCACTGAAGATCCTAGAGAAACATCTGCCAATAGTCATGGAAAATTGAACCCATTCCTAGAAAATATGAGTTTCCAACTAACAAATATGATAGACAAACAGAAAGGCTCAGTGTAAACAGAGATTGCATTCAATTTAAACTCCTAATGAAAAAAATGACAGACCATTCAAAGCAACAGAATTTCCTTTCACTCGAGCAAAGAAAAACATGAAGGAAAAATGAAGAAGAAAAATGATAATGTATGTGGGCCTTTCCCTTTCCTTCTTTTTGTCAAACCACTTTTTTTATCAGTTTTTTTTTTAATTCCCTAACCCCGAGTTTCTATCATAAAGCTTTTATGAAAATGTTTTTAAATCATTCTGATTATTATTAACTGTCACCAAGCTACAGTTGTGCTGTGTGCTACCTGCAGTTCTATCATCTTTAACATAAATCTTTATTGCAAAAGATGTGCTTTAATTTTAAATGAGCTAAGACAAATTTGCTTCCTCAATGTAAAGTCCTGCAAGACACAGGACATAGGCTGCTTTTATCATCATTTAGGTAGTATGTTAAAAATGCCTCGTCTCAAACAGGATTTACATTTAGATGGTCAAATTTTGGTGCTTCTTCTTAACATAAAATGCATTATTTTCTTAGTGAAGACAGTCTCACTCATCAAAGATTGCATTATCAATATGTCTATATTTACCTCTATATTTATATATATTTATCTATATACAATATATCAGAGAGCAATGACATACTAGTACAATTGTTTTGTTTCACCCTGCAGAGAATATAACTGGATCCCTAACTCCCCCATCATTTTGCCTATGAAAAATAAATTCTGCATTCTTGTTCCTCTTTCCTCTGGTCTCCCTCAAAGAAAAAGATAGTACTTCCCCACCTTATTGCAGGAAATCTTCTAATCTAGGTATTCTTACTATTGCCTTATCGCTAGCATTTTCCAAAACAACTATTTTCTTTTAATAATTTAATTTAAATGACTGCAGAAAAGTGCCTAAAAGGAACCTCATACAGTTCAGCAAAAGAAAATGCCGAATGCTGCACCTGGGGAGGAATAACCCCGTGCACCAACATGTGGGGCAGCTGGGCAGGCAGCGGCCTGGCAGAGAAGGCCCAGGGGCGGCTGGGGGACACCAGGTGGGACATGGGCCAGCTGTGTGTCCCTGCCCTCAGCCTCACCAGGCCTCACCTGGAGTGCTGTGCCCGCTCTGGGCTCTCCAGTCCAAGAGAGATGAGGAGCTACTAGAGAGAGCCCAGGGAAGGGCCACAAACACGGTGAAGGAACTGGAATCTCTCTCCTGTGAGGAAAAGCTGCGAGAGCTGAGACAGTTCAGCCTGGAGAAGGTGCAGGGGCACCAGACTCACCACAGGGCCTGACAAGCCTAAGGTTAAACTGGGGGGTTTAAGGCCACCAAAAGTGGCTGACATGCCATGAAACAGGGCCTTTCCCCCTCTGGGGTGTTCGCCGTCCTCACTAGGCAACAGCCGGGGTGCCACAGGCTCCTGTAGTCGGCACATTTGGCCCTGGCCTCCTGCAAGCTCCACACGCAGTGTGTGACTTCCAGCAGGACCGTGGCCTTGTGCTGGCAGTGCCGTCGCTGTGCAGAGACGTGGCCTGTGTGGGGGCTGCGGGTCCTGCACGGGGCTGTGCCAGCACCTTGGCTTGAGGAGGGCACCACTGAGGGTTCCCAGACAGTTCCTCCTTCCCTGACCGCCTCCTGCAGGTACCCTGTGCCAGCCTGAGTCCAGCTGGCTGTCCGTGGGGGAGTGCTGAGTGGGGGGTTTGTCCTGGATTGGGGGCAGTGTGCCTGGGGGCAGTGGAGGGGGCAGGCACATGTGGAAGGCAGCTGTGGGGCTGGCGGTCACTTTTGGGCCTACAAGGAGACCCTGTGGGAGGCCTTTGTCTCCCCTCTCTCCCCACTCTCTGGGGCCTTCTCTGCTGTTCCGCTCCTGGTGCCAGAGAAGCTCAGGCACTGGGCACATGTCTTGGCAGAACATGGCACCCGGAGCCAAAGAGGCTCTGCAGGAGAGCAGCACTGCCATGACGGCCGGCACGAGCCAGAGGCAGTGGGAGGCAGTGGCAGAAGGCCTGTGCCCCATTTGCCTGGACAACATGGACGACACAGCCCACGTCATCCCCTGCCTGCACACCTTCTGCTTCGGCTGCATCCAGCAGTGGGCTGCCGTGCGCGCCGTGTGCCCGCTCTGCCGGCAGCACTTCAGCCGCATCCTGCACACAGTGAGAGCGGATGACGACTACCAGGAGTACGTGGTTGCCTCGTCCTCCCGCCAGCAGAGTCCCGCAGCCGGACAGAGGGTGCGCAGCAGATCCCCACAGTGGCGCTACCACCTGCGCCCACGGCCCAACAACAATCCCACTGCTGGGAGAAGGGGGCCGGCAGAGAGGGACCATGGGAGGGCTCCAAGGAACTCCGACACCTCTGCCCCATAGACTGCAGGGAAACGCTCATCCAGCCCTGCTGATGGACCTGTCATCCACTTGGACTTGCTGAGAGCGTGGCTTATGGCCTTCACGCAACGTGAATGAACATCCAGAATCTTTCCAGAGCGTGCATCTTCCAAAACCACTTGGTACACTGCACATGAACCCACTAATTACAGAGAGGTGTAATTTTATCTCTCTCTTTTTCATTACTCTTATTATTATTCATAGTAGTATTGTTATTATTAAAATTATTAAAGTGTTCTTACCTTAACCCACAAGGTTTATCCTTTTCTTTCCAATTATCCTCCCCAATGGGGCAGGGGTGGCAAGCAGCTGCATGGAATTGGTTGCTGGCTGGGGTTCTCCAATTTCATGTGCTGGTGCTGGAAAATTATTGGCTTCATGGCCACTGAACAAAGATCCAAAGCTTTTCAGAGCATGATTCTCTCAAAATCAAAGCAAGCCACTGCAGGCAATGCTTTCTAGCCCTGTCTCAAGAGTGTAGGAAAACAAAAGGGGAAGTTGTCTGGAGTGTACCATGAACTACTTTATTAAAAATGCTGCAACAGAGCCCCTTTGGCCCACACTCTCCCAGCCTTGCCCCTCCAACACCAGAGCATGGCTGTGGCCATCAGCCAGGCCACCTGACCTGAAGCAAAGCCAGGTCCATGGACACAGGCCATGCTGACAACCCTCTCCCTGCTGGTACCTCTACACCCAAATGGCTCCAGTCAGCTGCCTGTCACAGCCCTCTGAGCATTCCTCTGACACTTCTCTACAGCAGCAGCCTGGCTCCTCCAGCCCCAAATCCCATGGCTGTGGTAGGAATGCAAGATAAGCTATCCTGGTGTTCTGGAGACAGGCTTCACAGAAGACACTGCCAGGGAATGATCTGCACACCTTAGCTTGGTCTTTGTCAGACAGCAAAGCTCTAAACCCTGAGCAGCCTGGGCCTTCAGGAGCCAGTCAAGGAGCAGACTGCAATGCAAACAAAGCATATTTTTGCCATGCCTCCGCCCCACCCCCATCTTGCTGGGCCCTTCCCAGTCCCTCACTTTTAATCCTTTCCCCAGACACACCAGCACCAGCCTTGAACCTTTGCACAAGCTCTGCAACAACCCCCTCTCGTAGAGTCTGAGCAGCTCCATAGATTCTCGCCCAACATCCCACAAGGGTCCCCCCAGTCCTGCTGGCAGAGACTCTCCACAGCCAGAGAGGCCCCTGTGTTGTGTTCCTGTGGGATCCATCTCAGATCTGCAGGAAAGGGCCCAGAGGTCCTGGGGACACCAACATGCAAACAGCAGTGTCAGTGTGCCCTGGTGGCCAAAAGGCAGACCGCCTCCTGGGGGACAGTGGGAAGAGGAGTACTGCCAGCATTCCCCCCTCTCCTCAGCCTTGAGAGGCTGCACCTGGAGTGCTGTGCCCAGCTCTGGGTTCTCCAGTCCAAGAGAGACAAGGAGCTACTGGAGAGAGCCCAGGGAAAGCCCACGAACACAGTGACGGAACTGAAGTCTTTCCCCTATAAGGAAAAGCTAAGAGAGCTCAGATAGTTCGGAGAAAGTGCAGAGGGATCTCATCACTGTTTGTAAATATCAGGTGCAGGGAGTAAAGAAGAGGGAGCTTGACTCCTCTTGATGGTGCCCAGTGACAGAACAAGAGGCAATGAGTACACAGTGAAATTCCATTCAAGCATGAGAAACTTTTTTACTGCAGTGGTGGTCTTGGACTGGGAAAATTGTCTATTTTCATCAATAGCTTTCAGTATCAAGAAGAAAGTGGAAGCAGAAGGTAACCTTCTTTCCTCTACCACCTCACTAGGTACACAGCTGTGCAACTAGCCTGTCAAAATAAGGCAGGAACCAACTACTGGGTCCCTTACACTTCTAACAAAACTTCTGATAAAGTTATCACTAATCACAGATTGACAATTATAAAATATGTGTGAAAAATGCATTACAACATAGAACAAAGCCAGATTACAGTTCTTGGATGGCAAGATGAATGTACACGTGAAAGTCTTGATAGAGATGATGACCAATATTCCTCTTACCTCAGATAATTTACCATGCCCAAGAACTGGGAAAACAAACATTACTTCACTATGCCTTGAAGTTTTTCAGAGAACAGTAAAAAGAAAACACACTAACTCTGCTGCAGTATCAGATACATCTATTTACCTTGTTTATATATTCATCAGCCCATAAAAGAGAATGAGGGGCAGAGCAAACCAAATATCAGGAAGCGTTACAATAGGTAATAATGCAAATGAAACTGATATAAGGAGATCTGTGTGGAGTATGCAGACTTATCCTCAGACAAGAAATTGAAAACCATTTCCTAGGGAACAAGAATTCCTTTACATGTTTTTGGTTCAATATATTTCCACTACCTCTTTGTCTTACTAGTGTAGCTAACATCTACAGTACCAGCAAAATTTGGAATAAAAGCACTGAATTGCCATTAGCCTATTCAGAAGTAGCTAGGTGGTCAAATTATTGATCCAAGAAATATCTTGTAGCATCAAACACTGCATTGACAAAAAAAAATACAAAATTAAAAAAGCCACACTAAAACAAAAAACAAACAAACAAAAAAACAACAACAAAAAAGCACCCCCACATTTTTCTGATTTTATTCTGAGATTCACATTGTTCTGCATTAGACAGGACTGTGCTTTGCTGCCCAGGAAATACACAACGAAAGTTCAGAATGGCAGAGCATTATTACCTTATAGCAGTGGACACTAAAAGAACTTCAGAACCAAAACCTTTGTTAACATATGCAAAAGAACATATGTCCACAAACATCCATGGTCCCTCTCCCACACTTATACATCCACGCAGATCGTCCAACCACTCTCTGAAGCTGAGAAGACAGGATGACCAGAGATCTGTGTGGCTGCAAAGCACAGAGGTATCATCACTTCCTGGGCTAGGTGACTGCATTACTAATGTGTTTATATTAACTTATAAACACTGACACCACCACAACTCTTTGGCATTAGGAGATTGTGAACATATGTGTTCAAAATAGTTTTGTCTTCATCAGTAAATAGTTAGGGATGAGTCTTGACATGCCAAGTGTGCCTAAATGAAAACCTCCTTACTATGCTTTAGTATTTTTAAATCTGTGTACAATTAAAAGTATGCTAGCTAGCAAATTCTTTAAAACACTTTCCTAATATGGGTAGGGCAAAAGGCTCTATAAGTGGAGACAGAAAGGTTACAAACTTCTCTAAGAAAGGGTTACAATGCAGCGATGGCTGGCCAAAAATGCCAATCTTTTGCAGCATGTACATTCAAAAGGCATCACTGTTATTACAACTTTGCTCTTACCAAACAGTATGCTTAGTTTAGCTCTTTTCCTTTTTTTATTAAACAGAACACATAACAAAGAATATGTGTCATTTTATCATTATTCCTTTTGGGTGGCTGTAAAAGATAAAAGGATCGTTTGAGATCTATGTGCCTTCTTTCAATAATTACTTTCTAAAGTAATCAGAATTGCCATCAGCCAATTGTTCCTTATGTTTTGATAAAAGATGAGGATTCTGCCCGTGAAAGTGACAATATGATGTGCTGCTTATTCAGTTTTTCTGCCAAATGAATAGGAGATATTTTACCACAACACTGCAAGAAGATAAAGAATTTCTCTAGTCATAATGTTTAATAAAAGTAATGAAGCTTCTGAGGGAAAAACAAAAATGTGTCTAGCTTCCTGTGGATTAGGCCCCAAAACTGGGATAAACAGTTCATTAAGAGTAACTCTTTCATATTTTCAAGGTGATTAGATTCACCTCTTCATAATCAGCTAATCCATGATATTAAACACAAATATTTTTAAGTAAGGATTTTGGATGAATACAAAAACCTAAACATTGCATTTCTGATGCAGTCAGATTCTTAAGAATATTTGTTTTAGTCAGATAGACACAAGACATTATGCAAGGAGTTCACATTACACTTACAAACCACAAAATGTATTCTTTTACTGATTTTTAGTCTTATTTAGATTCATTTTAATTTATTTTTAAAAATACTGTTATCCCACCTGAAATAAATAAAAATGCTACTGAAATTTAAAGTCTTAAACTTCACAGAAATATCTTGTTTGCATTTCATGAGAAAATATTGTGTTACATACCTTTCCCTCTGAGAAGCTTTTACAGGAGGTTTGATTTGGCAGAGACAGAACTGATAAGACCGAACAAACGGTCCTGTATGATATCCTGGTTGCTTTTTAATCTGTGAAAAGTCTATTAATCAGACAGAACATGCCCAGAGAGTGAACGAGATTTCTGCATCAACTCTGTATTAACTTCCACCAGTTCCGTACATTTCTATAAAATGTTCTATCCCCACTTGCAGCTAGCCTGAAACCTATAATTAAAAAGCTGGTATCAGTTCTATAGGCTGCCAGGCAGTGAAGACTAATCTTAGATAATTCAACCTCATTCCAGCCAATTGTATTTCTAGTTTAAAAAAACCCCACATCTGTACGCTTTATACAGTGACACACACACAAAAAAAGGCTGTAAATAAAGATGTGTAAAAGGAAGTCACGATATACACAGTTCTTTTATTTATACCTTAAAAAAAATGTCTCCCTATTGTGATCTATTAACTGTCAAGAAGAAAACTAACATAAACATGTTCTACATTCATAAATATGTTCTTCAGGGGGAAAAAAAGGAGAGAAAAAACAAAAAATGTCAACAGCAGTACCTTTCCATTAAGAAATGCAAACGCCTTTGTTCCTGGCTTTTTGACACAGTAAACTGAAAAGGGAAAACTAGATTTAAAAAAGAAAAAAGATACGACTATTCTAATTCTATATTAAATACAATTTATATGGATTCAGTATTACAAAACTGAAATATTGCCATCAACTCTGCTCTTAAACTCTTGCAGTAAGTTTTCTATGTAAGCAGATAATTAAACCATTTCTATCAGAGAACTACCTTAATGTAGTATTCAACTTAAAGCAGAATAATCAAAATTTGTAATGT